CCATCCTGGTCAACATGATGAACCCCATCTCTACTAAAAATACAAAAAATTAGCTGGGCATGGTGGCGCGTGCCTGTAATCCCAGCTACTCAGGAGGCTGAGGCAGGAGAATTGCCTGAACCCAGGAGGCGGAGGTTGCGGTGAGCCGAGATCGCACCATTGCACTCCAGCCTGGGTAACAAACAAAAAAAAAATTTAGAAAGTCCACCTGGGATGCTAACAGAGAAAAGTAATTTTTTTTTTTTTGAGACAGAGTTTTACTCGTTACCCAGGCTGGAGTGCAGTGGTGCAATCTCAGCTCACTGCAACCTCCACCTCCTGGATTCAAGTGATTCTCCTGCCTCTCAGCATCCTGAGTAGCTGGGATTACAGGGGCCTGCCATCACACCTGGCTAAAAATGCTCCTATTTCTAAGAAAGAGAATAGATCAATCAACAAGTGCTTTTCTCCATAACCCATTAAAATGGTAAGAAAGAGGAAAATGGTACAAACTGACAAGAAAAAGAAATATAGAGGAGATAGATACTGGTATACAACAGACATGAACACATTTTTCAATAATGGAAAGGATGAGGACGATTTCAATGCACAGCAGACTTACGAGGAAACTCAAATAATGTAAATGTACTGCAGAAGAGAATGCCAGTGATTTGTGCCACAAAATATTCAGAAAGAGGCAGAAAATGAAGGGAATTAGGTTTTTCAAAAGGAATAAAGGATGGTGGCTGAAAAAAAGTGTGAACACGCAATGTCCAGTCATGAGAACAAAGGACTGGCCCCACCTTCGTATGAAATGGAAGATTATCCTCTGAAAAATTTCATCAGAGCTCAGGGGCATCCAGCAAATGAGATGACAGGAATGAGCTGCTATATGGAAATCAAGGAGATTAAACCGACATATATGGTAAGACCTGCAGCGCCATTCTGCAGCTCAAGACAAAAGATGCTAGCAGCCAGGTATATATATATATACCCATGGGCAGGGTACTAGAGGATCTGTCTCTGGAGAAACTGAAAGGCCCACAATAAACCTCATTAGCAGCCTGGCCAACATGGTGAAACCCCATCTCTACTAAAAATACAAAAAACTAGCCCAGCATGGTGGTGCGTGCCTAGAATCCCAGCTGCTTAGGAGGCAAAGGCATGAGAATCACTTGAACCTGGGAGACAGAGGTTGCAGTGAGCTGAGATCATGCCACTGCACTCCAACTCCAACCTGAATGAAAAAGCAAGACTGTCACGAAAACAAAACAAAACAAAGCCAGCCTCGTTAAGATGCCCCTCTCCAAGATGGTAAGTATCAAAGTGTCACTTGTATTCATATCTCATTGGCTAAAACAAAAGACTTGGCCGTGGCTGAGTTCACTGGAGTCAGACAGTATAATCCTTCTGCAAGACAGAGACCAGTGGTTCACTAAGCATTTCACTTTTCAGCCGCTGAAGCCTACCAGATACAAGCACCCAGGCACAAAAGAGCTCATGATTACCTCTTAGTGAGCTATTAACAAATATTCCACTAGCCCCACTAACATGAAAGACATCAAAATAAAGAGAAAAAAGCTATGAGGAAATAAAGGCAAGGCCCAGCAAACAACACTACAACCAGTCAGGAATAGGTAAAAGATATTTTGTCAGTTAAACAGTAACAGGGTTTTGTAAGCAAGAAATGGAAATAAAAGTTCCCTTAGAAATTAAGACTGTGAGAGAAGGGGAAAAAAAAGATAAAGCAGAGCATATCCACATTCATCAATAACAAGTCACCTTGTTTCAGAAGGCATGGCTGCCTCATCCTAGCAAACTCAGGCATGGCTAGGTGCTCACTTGGCTGATAAAATATGATCACAAGTGACAAGTGTCATTTCATGGTAGAAGTTTCAATGACAAATTCAGAGGATACACCAAGGAAACATAAAAGCTGAGTAAAAGAAGTTCAAAAACAAGAAGATAATTCATTAGAGGAAGTATTCAAAGAACAAAAAAGTTGCCTCTACTCTAAGTCAAAGGGTCCACTTGAGTAAGAATAAGACCCATACCTAGACACATTACTGTGACATTTCAAAACACAAAATACAGAGGTTATAAATGTTTTCAGAAAGAAAGAACAAGACTGAACATGGTGGCTCACACCTGTAATCCCAACCCTTTGGGAGGCCAAGGTGGGAGAACCACTTGAACCCAGGAGTTCAAGACCAGGAAGGACAACATAGTGAGACTCCATCTCTAAAGAAAAAAAAAAGTAAAGAGTTTCTGAGACTAAAACATTTGAGAACAACAGCTCAAAATATTCATTCAACAAATAGTTGTCTCCTTACCACGTGCATGGCAGTTCCAGGCTCTAGAGATAAATAGTATTGGACAAAACTGACAACATATCCCGCTCTCATCAAGTTTACATTCTAGTTAACATGATACAAGTAATAGAGATGGTCTGCTAAAAAGCAATCCAGGCACAGTGGCTCATGCCTGTAATCCCAGCTCTTTGGGAGCCCGAGGCAGGCAGATCATTTGAGGTTAAGAATTCGAGACCAGCCTAGCAACATGGTGAAACCCTGCCTCCACTACAAATACGAAATTAGCCGAGGTTGGGTGCAGTGGCTCACACTCTAATCCCAACACTTTGGGAGACCGATGTGGGTGGATCACTTGAGGTCAAAAGTTCGAGACCAGCCTGGCCAACATGGTGAAACCTCGTCTCTACTAAAAATACAAAAATTAGCTGGGTGTGGTGGTGGGTGCTTATAATTCCAGCTACTTGGGAGGCTGAGGCAGGAGAATCACTTGAACCCAGGAGGTGGAGGTTGCAGTGAGCTGAGATCGCACCACTGCACTCCAACCTGGATAACATAGTGAGACTTCATCTCAAAAAAAAAAAAAAGTTTTAAGTGCTATGGAAAAAAAACTAGGGAAGTGGTAAATAGTTTCAATTTCAGATAGGATCATCTCTGACAAGGCAAGTATCGTGTCAAGACATGAAGAAAATTAAGACAATGATCCTTACAGGTATCTGGAGGAAGAGCTTTCCTTTTTTTTTTGAGACAGAGTTTTGCTCTTGTTGCCCAGGCTGCAGTGCAAAGGCACGATCTAGGCTCACTGCAACCTTCACCATCTGGGTTTAAGCGATTCTCCTGCCTCTGCTTTCCAAGTAGCTGGGATTACAGGTGGGCACCACCACGCCTGGCTAATTTTTGTATTTTTAGTAGATACAGGATTTCACCATGTTGGTCAGGCTGGTCTCAAACTCCTGATCTCAGGTGATCTGGCCACCTTGGCCTCCCAAAATGTTGGAATTATAGGCGTGAGCCACCGTACCTGGCCTGGAGGAAGAGCTTTCTAAGTTAAAGAAGTTCACAGGCCCAGAAGATCCTGCTGAGCTTAAGAAACAATGATACTTATGAAACATGATGTCCTCTATGTCCTTCTTTGGCTTAGTCTGACCCCCTCCTATCTTTTCATTTTTAGTTATTTTTTTAGAGACAGGGTCCCACTGTTGCCCAGGCTGGAACACAGTGGCACAGTCCTATCTTAGTACAGCCTCAAATTCCTGGGCTCAAAGTGATCTTCCACTCCAGGATCCTGACTAGCTAGGACCATAGGCAAAGGCCACCATGCCCCACTATTTTTAAAAACTTTTTGTAGGCTGGGTGCGGTGGCTCACACCTATAATCCCAGCACTCTGGGAGGCCAAGGTGGGTGGATCACGAAGTCAAGAGATCGAGACCATCCTGGTCAACATGATGAAACCCGGTCTCTACTAAAAATACAAAAATTAGCTGGGCATGGGCACGCACCTATAGTCTCAGCTACTTGGGAGGCTGAAGCAGGAGAATTGCTTGAACCCAGGAGGCGGAGGTTGCAGTGAGCCGAGATCACACCACTGCACTCCAGCCCTCCAGCCTGGGTAACAAGAGCGAAACTCCATCTCAAAAAAAAAAAAAAAAGACAGCTACAAGATCCAAAACTTGAATCTTGATTACATCCTGGAATTGAAAAAACTATGAAAGGCATTCTGGGGACAAGTGGAAACATGTGAACACAGACTGTGTAGTCAATAATATTAGGACAATATGGTTAATCTGCTAAGATGTGATAATGGTATTTTGTTACATGTCGGAGGAGGGGTTCCTTTTTTTTTCTGTTTTTGTTTCTTTTTCTGAGATGGAGTCTCGCTCTGTTGCCCAGGCTAGAGTGCAGTGGTGTGATCTCGACTCACTGTAACCTCCGCCTCCTGAGTTCAAGTGATTTTCCTCCCTCTGCTTCCCAAGTAGCTGGGATTACAGGCATGTGCCACCACACCTGATTTTTGTATTTTTAGTAGAGACTGGTTTCACCATGTTGGCCAGGCTGGACTCGAACCCCTGACCTCAGGTGATCCACCCACCTGTGCTTTTCTTGGTTAAAAAATACATAGTTAATTTTTTAGGAGTAGAGCATCATGATGTCTCAGCACACAAAATAAACACAGATATGGACATACAAAAACATGGCAAAAGATTAATTACTGAATCTACATGGTGGATACATAAGAGAGCATGGTACTATTCTTTACTCTTTCAGCATTTATGTTTAAAATGTTAATATAAAAAAAAATCGAATGGCTGTACATGGTGGCTCACACTTGTAATCCTGGCACTTTGAGAGGCCAAGAGTTCGAGACCAGCCTGGCCAACAAGGTGAAACCCTGTCTCTACTGAAAATACAAAAAATTAGCTGGGAGTGGTGGCATACACCTGTAGTCCCAGCTACTCAGGAGGCTGAGGCAAAAGAATCACTTGAAACTGGGAGGTGGAGGTTATAGTGAGCCCAGATCAGACCATTGCAGTTCAGTCTGGGCCACAGAGCAAGACTCTATTTCAAAAAAAATAAATAAAAACTTAAAAATTGAGAAAGAAGAACTGATCAATATTTTCACAATAAAAATTCATGGATTATTTAACAGCACCTCATGCATTCTCATAGTACTGACCAGAAAAATAAAACAGGTTTTATTTTCCTTTCAACAGGTTTATAATGCAAACATGTTTAAGATCTCATTTACTGAGGACTTGTAAGTTCCTCTGGGAAACATGAAGTAATGGACAAGCAAAGGGAAGATGAAAAAAGGCAGAGGTAACAGGAACATTTTAACTAAAATTCAAGTTTAAGTAAGTATCACCTACATATGTAGAACATTTCATAATCGAAGGCCAAGACTAAAAAAATTTTATAAAGAGAAAGAAATACATTCATATTGATAGTCACATTTTTTTTCTCTGTTACCCAAGCTGGAGTCCAGTGGCAAGATCTTGGCTCACTGCAACCTCTGCCTCCCAGGTTCAAGCAATTCTCCTGCCTCAGCCTCCAAGTAGCTGGGATTACAGGTGTGTGCTACCACACCCAGTTAATTTTTGTATTTTTAGTAGAGACAGGGTTTCACCATGTTAGCCGGGCTAGTCTCAAACTCTTGACCTCGGATGATCCACCTGCCTTGGCCTCATGAAGTGCTGGGATTACAACCATAAGCCACCGTGCCTGCCCTTTTTTTTTTTTTTTTTTTAAGATATGGGGTCTCACCATGTTGCCCAGGCTGGTCTTGAACTCCTGATCTCAAGCAATCTGCCCACCTCGGTCTTCCAAAATGCTGGTATTACAGACGTGAGCCACCGCACCCAGCCCTCTATCTACTTTTTATTTCTGTGAAAGAGAAAAGAAATATTAAGAGTAGGAAGTAGTTTTAATTCTAATGTCATATGAGAAAGGATGTGAGTGGACAGCTGCCATCACTCTTCTAAGAAAGATCCCTTTTTTTATCTATTTATTTGTTTATTTGTTTGTAAAAACAGAGATAAGTTCTCACTTTGTCACCATGCAGGAATGTAGCAGCTCAACCATAGCTCACTGTAGCCTTGCACCCCTGGGCTCAATCGATCCTCCTGCCTCAGCCTGCAGGTAGGTGGGACTACAAGTGTGTGCCACCACACCTGGCTAATTAAAATTTATTTTTGTAGAGACAGGGTCTTGCTATGTTGCCTAGGCTGGTCTCAAGCAATCCTCCGACTTTGGCCTCCCAAAGTGCTGGGAATACAGGCATGAGCAACTAAACATGCTTACGAGGACCCCTTATGCATGGTGCTCTCCAAAAGCATAGGCACAGCTTCAAGGGCCTGATTACCGCTCCTTGCATGCATTCATGGAATCCAGGAATGTTATACCGGTTGAAGGCAACTTGACAGACCCACTGGCATCCCTGAATAGTACGGAATGTAGGGCTTAGCAAGGAAAGAGACAGCAACCTCATATAAAACAGCCTGTCAGTATAGCAGGATAGATGCAGGACAGATGAGGGCACAATTTTCTTTTTTTTTAAACCATGCCTCTGAGACAAGTTCAAGAGGGCACAATGTTCTATCTCCCCAAATTCCTGACTTCTATACCGAACTGCCAACTTGAATACTCATTTATATGATCAACAGACATGTCATGACAGTCCAAAACAAAACTCCTGATCTGGCTGGGCGTGGTGGCTCACATTTTTCATCCCAGCACTTGGGGAGGCTGAGGTTGCCGGATCACCTGGCGTCAGGAGTTTGAGATCAGCCTGACCAACATGGAGAAATCCCATCTCTACTAAAAATACAAAAAAAAAATTAGCCAGGCATGGTGGTGCATGCCTATAATCACAGCTACTGGGGAGGCTGAGGCAGGAAAATTGCTTGAACCTGGGAGGCAGAAGTTGCAGTAAGCCGAGATCGGGCCATTGCACTCCAGCCTGGGCAGTGAGAGTGGTGGTGGGGGGAAGAAAATTCCTGATCTGTCTCAAAAATTTCTACAGACTTCCTGTCTCAGTAAATGATAATCCATTTTCTTGCAGTTTTTCAAATCAAAATGTTGGACTCTTTTTTCTCATACCCCACATATAATCTGTCAGCTATTCCTCTAAATTATTTTTAAAAATCCAACTACCTGTCACTAAACTACCATCACTTTCTCATCCAGATTACTCAATGGCCTCCAATTAACCTTCTAGCCTTGGGCCCCTACATACTTCATTCTCTATGTAGCAGACCTGATTATTCCTTTCAAAATGTAATTCTCATCTTACTCCTCTGCTCAAAGCCCTCTGATAGGCTGGAGCAGTGGCTCACGCCTGTAATCACCACTTTGGGAGGCAAAGGCAGGTGGATCACTTGAGGCCAGGAGTTCAAGACCAGTCTAGGCAACATGGTGAAACCCCATCTCTACTACAAATAGAAAAATTAGCTGGACGTAATGGTGGCTGCCTATAATCCCAGCTACTTGGAAGGCCAAGGCAGGAGAATCTCTTGAACCCAGGAGGCGGAGGTTGCAATGAGCTGAGATCATGCCACTGCACTCCAGCCTAGGGTGAGGGAAGGAAGTGGGGGAGGGAGGGAAGGAGGTAAGAAAGAAAGGGAGGGAGGGGAGAGGGGAATGGGGGGAGGGGGAAGGGGAATGGAGGGGAGGGAAAAGCAAAGCAAAGTCCTCTGCTGGGTCTCCCAAATCACTCAGAATAAATGCAGAAGCCTGTGATTTGACCTGGTAGGGAACCACTAAGAAGTTCCTAACCACTGCTACTCTTATTCCCGCTTGCCCACTCTCTTCCAGCCCATCGACCTGATCACTATTCTCTGAGCAGGACAGCAAGCTCCTCCTGCCTTCGGGCTTTTAACATTTTTGTTCCTTCTAGCTAAATGATCTTCCACCCAATATCACACGCCCACTCTCATACTCGAGATCTTTTTTTAAATGGCACTCAGTGAGACCTTTCCCCACCAAGCTGATCTAAAATAATCCCAAGTGGCCCTCTCTCTGCCAGTCTTCCTTGCTTTGCTCTTTTCCACAGCACTTATCACTATCTGATGGTATAGATTTTTTAAGCATTTACTCATGGTCTGTCTCCCCCAATTACAACATAGTCCCTAGGAAGAAGACATTTTTTGACTATTTTGATAGCTGACATTTCTCTAGCATCTGAAATAGTACCTACTACATAGCATGCAATAAACAGTTATAAAATGTGAATATATCACATTGGTAGAAACGTAAATTGGTTTACTTCTTTTGAGAGCAATGTGCTTATCTCAATCAAATTTATAAACTTTGACCCAGCATTCCATTTAAAAGTAAGTACTGTGTAGTTGTATCTGCATATTTCTGCAAAGCAATATAAACAAGTATACATACCTGTGTCTTCAACAGCAGAAGAAGCTGGGAAACAACCTAAATGCCCATTAGTAGGAGACAGATTAAATAAACTATGTGTCAGCCAGGCACAGTGGCTCATGCTTGTAATCCCAGCGCTTTGGGAGTCCAAGGCAGGAGGATCACTTGAGGCCAGGAGTTGGAGACCAGCCTGGCCAAGATGGCAAAACCCCATCTCTACAAAATACACAAAAATTAGCCAGGTGTGGCGGCACATGCCTGTAATCCCAGCTACTCGGGAGCCTGAGGCACAAGAATCACTTGAGCCCAGGGAGTGCAGGTTGCAGCGAGCCAAGCCCATGCCACTGCACTGCCGCCTGGGTGACAGAGCAAAACTGTCTCAAAAAATAAAAATAAAAAACAAATTATGTGTTGACAGAGAATTCTAAGAAAAAATTTTATGTACATAACAGAATATGTAATACACCACCATTTATATGAAAAGGAAAAGTGAGGGATTTTATATATATATATACACATATTAGCAACATAGACACAAAATATGTATTGGCTTATTCCTAGGCTACCTCAAGAAGGATGTATGTGACACTCTTAAACGTGAACACAACTTTGCAAGAAACTGCAAGACTAAGAGTCAAAGTTAAGAGGAGACATTTTTCGGGAGTTGTGAGGCAGGAGGACCATTTCAAGACAGGAAGTTGAGGCCACAGAGAGCCATAACTGTGCCATACATACATACCCACACACATAAAAGTAGCAGAGGGAAAAACTGATTTCTAGATCAACAACTTATGACAGAGGTACGTGGGGGCAGAAGGAAGGGAGGCAGAGGAGTCCATGGATCTACAATGGCAAAGGTGAGTGAGAAGAAAACGGGAAGTGTGAGAACAGGTATAAAATACAATTCTGAGGCATTCGGCCGCTAAAAGGATGAAAAGTAATAACAAAAAGGAACCTAAATATCAGACGATATGTAAAGTCTTACAAAGTATAAAGGACAATGTATGAGTTCAGGAAACGGGACGCGGGTGAAGAACAGCCACCACAGTGGCAGCACAGACAAAGCAGGAAGGCTGATGTCAGAACAGCAACAGGAGGGGGGCCTGTCCCCTCTACGATCTGGTGAAAGCAGAACAGTGAAGCACAATCTCATAAACTCACACCAAGCAATACTCCATGTCTCGGGCCTGTAAGAAAACATCCTTAGAAGCACTCAGAGGTATCAATGCCGACTGAAAACTGTGGCTGGCCTGCCTGTCATTCACTCACCTGCACAGATCCTTCCCACTTCTTTCTCTACCATACAGTTTGTCTTCTTGCTTCAACAGAGGATCATATAACCTGCTATTGGGGAAATGACACAGCATTACAATGTTAATGAGAGCCAAAGTACCATCCTAGAACTCAGGTTGGTGTCTCCTGGCCTTCTGAAGTGTGAGGGTGCAATTTCCAAGGAAGCACAGAAAAAAGTAATGACCTTCAGCCTTAGTGACTAAAGCACACACAATCGTGTGGGCAAAGGGACTAGGGTCATTTGAATCCTAAACTTCAAAACCATGCTCATTAAACCACTAAAGTCTACACACATCCAGAAATGGGAGAAAGGGAGAATTAACTTTCAGAATTTTACTGACATAGGAGAGCTGTTCACACCTTGTGTGAGTGATTGCTGTTTTTCTCTAGCACCACACTCCCATGCAGGTTCCTGAGAGGATTTTAACTACAGCCCTTATTCGTGGATGAATTCAATACTCACGTCTTTAACAACATGTTCCTATCAGAACTAAAGCACATGGGCACAATGTGTAGGAGGTTGTTCTGACAGTATTCGACAATACAAATTCAAACATTTTCCTCCTGGAGTCCTAGTATTTATCTTCTTCGCATTATTCTGAGTGAAATAATTTTTTTTTTTTTTTTTTGAGATGGAGTTTTGCTCTTGTTGCCAAGGCTGGAGTGCAATGGTGCGATCTCAGCTCACTAC